ACCCTAAGCTACGAGAGATGAAAGCTAATACCTAAAACACCATCATTTGGAGTTATATACTAAAGGGAGGAAATCAATCTGCTAACTGGTTAGCAAAGGAAGGTACTCTAAACACAAAAACTGTTTAAAATATATCACCATGCTCTGAATTAAAGCTCTTATTACATAGGGATAATCTTAACATCCCTTATGTCAGATGTAAGCCATATAAACCTCATTAGAAAATATTATTATCCTTTTGCTATATATATATATATATATATATATAAAGGAAACTGGTATTTGGCAGAGGCCCAAATTCCTCATTAAATAATATTATCATCCTTTTGCTATATATATATATATATATAAAGGAAATCAATATTTGGCAGAGGCCCAAATAACAATTTCCCATGCACTAGGCCTTATGATGAGAGTCGTGCCATGTGCCTAAATATTCGAGAACCCAGCGCCACCGGGGATCGAACCCGTGACCTAATGGGACTTACAGTGAACCCCTCCAACCAACAGGCCACGGCTTGATACACTATATATATATAATATGTTTATGTTGAATTTAATGCGATGAGCACATAAATAATATGTTTATGTTGACTACTAGTATCTGCATGACTGACTATGATGGATTCACCCATTTAGAGTAATAGTAGGGAAACTGTAATAAATTTGCACGTATATGGAAAAAAATATTGATATTAAAATACCTTAAGTGGTAAAATTTTTAGACAGTTTTCCTCTGACGGTTATATAAATATAGAATGATATTGTTATGCTATTGATATTGTAAGATTCATTGAATATCTCAAATATTTATACTGATTTAGTAAAGAATTTAATTAACATGCATATTACTTTCTTTTTGCAATTTATTATTGTAGTTTTGAATATCTCAAATATTTATACTGATTTAGTAAAGCATTTAATTAACATGCATATTATTTTCTTTTTGCAATTTATTATTGTAGTTGAGTATGAATATTCACTAGCCTGTTTGGTTTATTGTTATTTTAAACTAACTTCTCATGTTAATTAAGTGATTAACGATGAGCGTTAAAAGAAATGGCATTTATAGAAGACACGGACAACCAACAATGAGATATTTTTAAATATATTGTTTTAATTTAACTAAATTAGTGATTCCTTCATTTGTTAAATTGTAGACGAATAAAGAAAATTTAGTTTTCACCGTTCGACCTTCTGCTCTCATCTAAGCTAATTTCAAGCCCTGAGCCAAGTCGTGGCAATGGCAAAATCATAAAATACTACAATAAGTCATAATGGTGAAAGGAGTAAGGACAAAAGCTGCCTTGATGAAAAAATCCTCAGTAATAATTAAATGTATGAAAAAATTGTCATAAAAGAAATGTTAAACATGTCACCATAAAAGCAAGGCAAAAGGCAACTTCTAACTACCTATCAGAAGAAGCAAATATAATAGCCGCAGGCCTCTTCAGCAAATTGGGGACTGTCTGATCTTTTGTTTGGAATAGGTGTGTGACCCCATGAGGGGAGAGAACCGCTCCAACATCCATAGAAAGTAGTGCCCCATGGAGATCTGAGCTAGGCTTAATAATATCTTCAGGCGCAAACAATAGAATGACAGAATCACCAGACACAAGAATCCTAACAAAACATTATTTAAAAATAGTAAAGAGCAAAATGAAAATTTTCGAGCTAGGAAAAATAATTCACACCTTGCCGAAAGAGGAAGGCCTCCTCTAGCTAAGATTATAGGAGCAGCTAGCGCTGACAAAGCATCTTTAATAATATTAACATCCGAAAAGGCATTACCGCACAAAATAAGAGATGAACGCTCAATGTCAGCAGCTGCAAAAGCAGTAGTTGGCTTCGAGCTGAAGCCAATATTCTCACAAGTTTTTGAGCTGTAAAAGACAAAGTAACACAAAAAAGGTCATATATGAGGTAAAAATGAATCAGTTGAACAGATTAAAACGAATTCAAATGAACCACTAAATTTATTGGGCATTAAAGATAACAGTGTATACAAAATCAAACAAACTTTCATTGGGTCTGGTTGCAGATGTTTTATAGAGATGTACAGAAATGGTCAAACACAATGAATGAAATATGGAGACCTAAAACACTTTCTAAAATACAAAGAGACTAGTATAATATTTATTAAGCTAGAAATTCATATAAAAATGTTTTGTGGGTTAATTAGACAATAATATTATTTTAGCAATTTAATTTTAAATATTTTAGGACAATGTTAACTGAATTGATGGAATGTTAATCCAAAAATATGTTTAGTTATGGAATCCATAAACATTTTGAAATATAATTGGTTGCAACCAATAAATAACATGATTCTCGATTGCTTATCATTCTGTCCTTAGCACTTTCCATAAAATAATGAACATTGTTGAATGGGATTTCAACTGAATGGTGTGATCAGAGTTGCACTACAAAAACATGAGAGAACATCAAAGACTCCTTAGTTTTTCTGCTCTATGCATTTTATTATTACTTGACTACATGTTCCATACGCAGCGGTAGGGCATAACAGAAAGAAAGCAAATCAAATAATGAGAATCATTCATGTTGTCTGGCCAGCTTTAAGACAAGTGCTGGACAAACAGTAGGGTCATTCTTTTCAAAAAAGTTAAATATTGGACAAACAATCTAAAATTACCACCTGGCAATTGTCTTCAATTAAACAATCTAAAATTACCACCTGGCAATTGTCTTCAGATAGGCTTGCTGTTCAATATCATATCCATTCACAAACATCACTCGGCAAATTCTTGCATAAAAGCAGGCAATAGCATAGAAAATGGCAGGAGCATTTAATTTGGATGGCTCAAAATGCTTAAAGCATCTGCCAAAGCTTGATAGGTTTGGTCAGAATCTTCAGTGGATGAATCCTTAGGCACAAACTAGGTCAAGAGCAGTTTAAAATGACGTAAAAAAATGAATACATAATTCTACAATCAAAACAGATGTATACTATATGCTTACAAATAATCAATTGCATAAAAAGATCCTTAAATCATATCAAAATGCTAACAATATAAGGGTAATAGTTTTGAGATTTGCTTAATAATAAGATTTAGCAGATAGCACAAGATGCCAAAAATCAAGGCCCTTGGTTAAATCCAGCCTTGACAAAAGCTAGAAGATATACATTTGAAAAATGATTGGCTTCAAAATCAGGCTGGCCAAGAAAAATTGCAAAATTTTTAATTTTCAACCAAGATTGGGACAAATTCTATACATGGTCAATCTTGCTAATGCAAAGATCTAATCGGCAGTACTAGCCATTGGGGAAAGAATTGTAAATTAAAACTAAATTTGAGCTCCAAAAAGTAGGTTAAACCATACTTCACATTTTTCAAACTTTCCAGGTCATATAACATTATGAACAATCAACGAACTTGAATCATTCACAATATTTCTTCTTGGGCTTTAATACTAATTTAAACATTGTACACAGAATATACATGTAATTGAATGAAATAAAGTTCTCCAATAGCATGCATTACTAAGTGACCTATGGAATAAATACTGCAACTTCAGGTTTTTCAACCATTATAGACACTATTAGCTTCGAAAAACAATGGAACCACCCTACTGCAACTCAACAATTTAGTTCAAATAGTTTAGAACATATTGATCACAAATAATAATCAAATTTTGGAGCAAAGCAACCTGATCGGTTAACAGTATAAATTCTCATCAGTCATTTGAAAAACAATATATCTATTAAAACTAATGCTACAATTGTACGGACAATCTTAATAATTTTATTTATGCATGTTAAAAAAAATTAACAATAAGATAATGTAATCCTAGTCAACATTTTGCTTTTAGTTCCCACAAAACTCCATATCAAAATTATTGCCATAGAACATAGATTTCAATTAGTGAGAGAAAAAATATTATATTTTTTTCTAAACTATCCTTGTTTAAAAGATGTTCATGGCACGCGCCTCGAGATCCGCATTATATTGAGGCACACAGAAACAGCTTCAAAGCTAAAGGGCCCGTTTGGGGCAGCTTTTTTGGCGCAGTGCGTTTTGAAAACGTCGGATGAAGCATTTGGAAACAGCGGCGCAGTGGCGTTTCTAAAAAATTTATATGGGTTGCTGGTCACTGGGTCTTGCAGCTCACGTTCCATCGCGAATTTATTACTCTGCTGTCCTGTGATATCCCGTGAACACTACCCTCTCACGCATTTTTTTTGCCCTGGGTTACACCTCTCTCGATCCTGCGCCTCTCTCGTGCCTCTATCCAATGGCAACAGGTTGCCTTTCTCCTCTCCCTCTTCCCTTTAATCTTCGATGGCAGCGGGTTGTCTTTCTCCTCTCCCTCTTCCTTCTAATATCCAACTTTATCTAGTTATTGTGCTCTTCTTCCTCTCGCGATATCATCTATTAATTTTTTGTGGAATGACTTTGTCTTGCGATTTGTGGCTTTCTCATTTGCGATTTGATGTGAGAATTTAGATTTTCTAATTTGTGTCTTTCTCTTTATGACTGAGAATTTAGATTTTATGATTTTCTTTTTTTCTTTTTTGGTAAATTACATACAAAGCACCCAAAACTGATGCATTTATGCTTGCCACAGTCAAAACATTGTGAATGTGATAAAAATAAAAAATATGAATGGGATTTTATTTTTACCATTGATGCTTGAGTGAAAATTTAAAAATGGCCGAAAGAGGATGCTTGATTCAAAGATAACAATGTTTCGGGTGCCCTGTATGCAATTGCCTTCAATGAAAAATATGGGATGGGGTATTGTCATTACCTTTAATGTTTGCGTAATAATTTGAAAAATGGATGAAAGAGGGTGTTTGATTTGTAGATTGCAATGTTTTCGGTAATTACATACAAGACACCCAAAACCGATGCATTTATATTTGCCAATATACACAAGGCACGCAAAACCAATGCATTTATGCTTGTCACAATCAAACCATTGTCAATGTGATAAAAATGAAAAATATGGAATGAGATTTTACCTTTACTTTTGGTGTTTAAGTGAGAATTTGAAAAATGGCTGAAATAGGGTGATTGATTTGTAGATAGCAATGTTTCCGATGCCTTGTATGTAATTGCCTCAAATGAAAAATATTACATTTGAATTTTAAGTGAAAATTTGAAAAATGGATGAAAGAGGGTGCTTGATTTGTAGATAGCAAAGTTTTGGGTAAATTACATAAAGGGCACCCAAAACCGATGCATTTATGCTTGTCACAATCAAACCATTGTGAATGTGATAAAAATGAAAAATATGGAATGAGATTTTATCTTTACTTTTGATGTTTAAGTGAGAATTTGAAAAATGGCTGAAATTGGGTGATTGATTTGTAGATAGCAATGTTTCCAATGCCTTGTATGTAATAGCCTCAAATGAAAAATATGGGGAGGGGTTTTATCATTACATTTGAATTTTGAGTGAAAATTTGAAAAATGGACGAAAGAGGGAGCCTGATTTGTAGATAGCAAAGTTTTGGGTAAATTACATAAAGGGCACCCAAAACCGATGCATTTATGCTTGTCACAATCAAACCATTGTGAATGTGATAAAAATAAAAAATTTGGAATGGTCTTTTATCTTTACCTTTGATGTTTGAGTGAGAATTTGAAAAATGGTTGAAAAAGGATGCTTGATTTGTATATAGCAATAGTTCAGGTGCCCTATATGTAATCGCCCCAAATGAAGAAAATGGGATGGGAGTTGTGATTCTGTGGTGGTTGCTCGAAATAGTATTTGTGATGTCATAGTGGTTGTGGTGATAGTGGGGTGGTGATAATGGGTGGTGATAGTGGTGGTGATGTTGTGGCGGTTGTGTGGTGTGGAGGTAGTGTTGGCGTTGGCAGTGGTATTGTGGCAGTGGTATTGTGACGTGGTGTTTATGTTTGGTAATATGGTGGTGGTGATGATATGTTGATTGTGGTGGTGATGTTGTTGTAGTTGTGTGATGTGGTAGCAGTGTTGGTAGTGGTGTTGGTGTTGGTAGTGGTGTTGGTGTTGGTGTTGGGAGTTGTTTTGGTGTGGTGTGATGTGGCGTTGTGGCAGTGGTGTGGTGTGATGTGTTGTGGTAGTGGTAATGTGGTGGTGGTGATGATATGTTGATAGTGGTAGTGATGTTGAGGTTTTGATGTTGGTGTTGGTAGTGGAGTTGGTGTTGGTGTTGGTATTGGTAGTGGTGTTGGTGTGGTAGTGGTGTTGTGGTAGTTGTGGTGGTGATGATATGTTGATAGTGGTGATGATTGTGTGGTGTGGTAGTGGTTTTGTGATGAGGTTTCTTATCATTTATCATTTTGAGTAGTGGTATCTTAAATGGCTCTCTTTACGATAGAAAAACAAATATGAGACTGGTGCACCTTTTAAATAGTAGAGAATCTGTTGAATAGCTTGGGGATGATGCTTATAAGGGTCGTGCATGAATTGACTCACTATACTAACTGCTTTGCAAATGTCGAGGCGAGTATGGGCGAGGTAGATGAGTTTCACCAAAGGATGCTGGTAATAAATCTTATTGATAAGCACAGCATTACAAATGTCAGATAATTTTTTATTGGGATCCATACGAACAACCAATGGTTTGCAAAGAAAAATGTTGTTCTCTGTCAAGAGATCAAGCACATATTTTCGTTGAGACACCGAGATAAGTGTCATACTTCCAAGCCTAACAAGTATCGAAGAGATTTCGTCCATTTCAAAGGACTTAGCAAGAATGTCTTTCAAAAACTCCAATGTTGGGAGCATTACCTGTAAGAAAAATATCAACATAAACAATAAGAATAGCTACCTGGCCATTGGAAGAATGTCGGAAGAAGAGTGCGTGATCCGATTGAAATTGAGTAAAATATGGCCCACGACCACCTTCGTGAACTCGCCAAACCAGGCTCTTGGGACTGTTTTAACCCATAGAGGGACTTTCACAGTCTGCACACTTGCCCGCTGGAAGCAATAGAGTCAAAACAAAGAGCAAGAAACATGTAAAACTCTTCTGTAAGCTCTTCATTCAAGAACCCATTCTTAACATCTAGCTTAAATAAAGACCAATCTAGATTCACAGGAAGGGACAACAGGACCTAAATACGTGGTTTAAAGGCAACCAAAAACCTTTTTTTATAAGGTCTACTATCTTCTTGTGGTCACAAATTCGTTGGTTTACACTCTGTTCTCTGAGACCTCACGGTTTGATAAAACTTGAATTGAATATTTATATTATTCTTTATCACTATTGTGCATCTAAGGGTTTGTGATTTATTTTTTTAAACCTTCAGAAAAGATGCACTTGATTATTTTTAATATCTTTTATTGTAAGTCTTTTTTTTTTAATTTTGATTGTCTTGTTAGTTGCTATTTAGTGAGATATCTATTTTTAATTTATAATCTTCAAACTGAATATTTATTTTCAAGTACGAAATATACTAAGCGAAATTGGTTCTTTTATAAGCAGCATTATACTACAAGGTCATAAAGGTTATTTGTTCAGAAACAAATGCAGCACAATTGTTACAAAGTTGCAAAAAACAAACAAATAGTGAGGTTATGCACAGCAGCTTCCTAGCAAAGATGCTGGGCATTAACTTTTTCATAAGCTGCAGGCTTGCACTTTTTTGTCCGAGGTGTATAGATCGAGGCTTTATGACAGCGCTCTTCTGTAAGCTCTTCATTCAAGAACGCATTCTTAACATCTAGCTTAAATAAAGGCCAATCTAGATTCACCGGAAGGGACAACAGGATCTAAATACGTGGTTTAAAGGCAACCAAAAACCTTTTTTTATAAGGTCTACTATCTTCTTGTGGTCACAAATTCGTTGGTTTATACTCTGTTCTCTGAGACCTCACAGTTTGATAAAACTTAAATTGAGTATTTATACTATTCTTTATCACTATTGTGCATCTAAGGGTTTGTGTTTTATTTTTTTAAAGGTTATGCGCAGCACAATTGTTACAAAGTTGTTTGTTAAGAAAGGTTATTTGTTCAGAAACAAATGCAGCACAATTGTTACAAAGTTGCAAAAAACAAATAAATAGTGAGGTTATGCGCAGCAGCTTCCTAGCAAAGATGCTGCGCATTAACTTTTTCATAAGCTGCAGCTGCCTCAAAAATACCCTAAGCCTCATTATGATAGTGAGGCTTGCACTTTTTTGTCTGAGGTGTATAGATCGAGGCTTTATGACAGCATCTCAAATTTATGTAAAAAACATTATGTTATCTTATACAATATTATACAATATTATAATATAAATATGTATTATATTATTTTATAATATATTTAAATCCAATACATTTTATATAACACCTCAAAAAAGTCAAATGGTAATTTAAAAATGATTATTTAATTTGATTTTTAATTTATTACTTTATTTAAAATTACATATGTTCTAATGTTAATTTATATAGCAGGAAGAAAAATGTATAGCTTTAAGAAATTTTAGAAGAAAAAATGAGATGGAATCAAATGATGACAAAATTATTACCGATAATGATTCTTCTAAAAATGATGAAAGTGAGATTGAGATCGTCGTAGATTTTGATCCGAATTTTATATTTAAACTTTATGTGAATATTAACCTCAAATCTCATTCTAAACATCCATCTATTTATTAACATTAAAGATAGCAATTTGTGGGTAATAACTTTAAGATTAAAAACTAATTTAATGCATTGATGATTATGTCATATTTATAAACTATTTTTATACTTATAATTATTCCTACTCCGACTTGATCTGCCTCAAAGTTCATGCCTCGCCTCGCTAAGTAAAATATTGAGATATCTCAATTTTAGGTTTTGCTTTTTTTAACCTTGCAAAATATAATATCAATTTATATGCAATCATATGTTACAATTTGGTTTAGTTCCACTTTGAAAGAGACACACCATAGTCGGATAAAAATGCACGAACTATGTTTTTGTTTGATAGACAAAAGTCAAGGAGACACGTTAACTGGATTAGAATTTAAGTATTTTATAGTTTGACTAATAATAATGATAAAACAAGCTAACCAATTAGATGATATCTCGTCATGTGATGCAGGTTCCTTAAATTCCAAGTAACAAGATAGGTACCTTAAAATTACCATCTATTGATCGTTTAGCTGCTACAAGCATATTTGCATGCGCATGCATAACTAAGTTTTGCTTTCACC